ACCATAAATCTTGCAATTAGGTCAATTTTCAAGGACTGCACCAATAGTTTAATGTATTTATTTTCTATTTTATCATTTTCAGGAGGAGTTAAAAGCATAAAAATGTCAGATCTCATTACTAAATAAATATTTTGTATTGCATGTGTAAGCAAAATCTATCATCATTTCCCACAAATTCAATCACATTAAGGCTTGGTATAACAAGATTTGACAATAAAAACAAATAAAATCACATAAAAACCACTAAAATAATATAAAACTAGATAAAACACAAATCTTGTTATAGCAAAACCGTATAAAATTTACTTAAAAGCTGCAGTTGTAATATACTAGTGTCTTAAAGTAGAATATATTGAGAATTCTCGTCAATGTTATGAAAATTTTGTCATAATGAGATCCAACTACTAAAAACAAGATTAAAAGCAGAATAAAAACAATAAAAAATATTCAAACCAACCTATCCTTCTCATGATAAAATTGTAGGACATGCTTCCAAAGTGAATAAAAATATTTAGGAGGTCCATTCATTTCAATTGGGAACCCCAAAATTTCATTATAATAAAATAAAATACACTGCCATTAGTTACAGAAGATAATCTGAAAGTTTCAATGACAATCTACCAATAGTATATAATCTGTGGATGAGAGATGATGATGGACAGACAGACAGACAAATCTTCTCCAACAGCCCATTTCATGCTAGCCTCTAGGGCAGAAGAGTATTTGATCCACGAATTAGTCAAACCAAAGAAATGAAAATTGGTATTTGATTCTCCTCTGCAAATTGTGCTGCATTTAGGAGTAAGAGCAAATATTCTTCAGCTCGTAGTCAGAATGTTGTGTCCAGGTAGGGTGAAATGTCTTCCTGGGGACTGTTACATTGTGAACTAGCACATTAAAAATCCAGCTCAGCATGGTGATCTAGTACAAAGCAGGGTCTATATTCATATCACATTAATATGTTCTCATTCTAAATCTTCATTTAATTTGCCACTGGACATTTAACAGCCATCCATCAAAATCAAGGTAAAAATAATTTTACAGGTTTCTGAGTAATCTTGGGTGGGGTAAATAAGAAGTTGAGCACAATCCTCAAAAGATGAACATTAAATTCCTCAAAATATAAATTATGATGGAGAAAAATCATAAACATCAATCACATAAAAATGAAAAAATAAAACAAACTACAAAAAAAGTGTAATTATTTTCACTTGAGTGGCCTCAGATGCTGAATAATACATTTATAATGTATAAACAAAACCAATAAATAAAACTGACAGCCATTTATTTATATAAATGTACAGAAAGGGAGTCAAACCCAACCGAATAGGCAAACATTTTTATTTGGAGTCAAAAACTCAATACTGTAAATGTTTAACAGGGGATTTGTTTTATATTCTCTTTGGTGTTTGGCCATCAAAGTCCTACTTTATTGGTTTGTAACCGGCAAAATTCATTTCACAAAGCACTTATAAGACTAACACATACATAACTTTAAAAATATATGTAAACTGATGTAAGTTTTATGGGTACTTTGTGAAACTATATGGCATACCTTTGGGACCCCTCAAATGACTATTATTTCACAGTTTTATTTTTCATCAATCACAAAACAATAATCAAATGCAAGTAAAAATAATAAAAAAATATTTATAATTTGGATTACTCAATACAGCAATAAAAACAAAATTTATTAACAATTCATTATTCTGCTTACAAGACTACTGTCTAAAAAAAAGATAACAACAGTTCATCAATTGGTTTGCAGGATTATTATCTGAGGATTTTACCATACAAGGCAGCAACAGTAACACTTTCAACTGAAAAGAAATTAAGTTTTAATTCTTAATTCTTAATATCAAAGTAATCTTAAGGGTATGTAATAAAATTTAAGTGGCAATTTTTGAATTAAAAAAAACATATCAATGAATGTGAACTCTTTTTTTGCTACTTATATTTACTGATTACTCCAAAATATATGGTACATGTATCAAAAAAATGCAACTATTGTAAATATGAAAAAGTCAATACACAAAAGACAACTTTCTGGACATAACTTAGACGACCTCAAATACCTGAACAATTATTTGATATATAAAACGCAATGAATGCTGAGGCTGCTGATAAATTCATATACTATTGTCATACTCACTTTATAAAAAGTTAAAATTAGTGATTATTTTGTTATTTGGTTGTTGTTTTATTGTCGCATTTTTCTCCATGATAAAATGTAGGAATAAATTCTTTTGAAATTTGTAATGAAAATATGTAAGACTGAATGAAAGGCAAAATATATGGTTATCTCCCCTTCTTATCTCTTATTCAGTACCTGGTGATAGGTACATTTATCAAATGACAAGCGAGACAAAAATATCACTGAATATGGATACACTTCTAAAGTAAAGGTACAACATTTTACATTAGATAGCATAAATAAATTCTAAGTTGTATGTTGAATAAATTCTCACCTGAAACACAGCTGTAATTACTATCCCAGCAAGTAACGGGTTAGTAACCCTATGGAAACTTGTGATGCTAACCTGCAATACAAAGTTGGTCAGTTATTCTAAACTTTTCTAAATCAAAATAAATTTTAAATAGTACTAGGATAACAAAAAAAAAATCCATGGAATAAAATATTTGGTATACTGAACGATAAGCTCATGGTTTAAAATTAGCAATAGAAAAAATCAACTTGTATTTCATCATATTGTATGATTCCTTTCTTGGTACTTAAAACCTTTATAAATTGTCAAATACTATAAAATTATTCTAAAAAGCTTGAATACCTACCAACATGTTAACAGTATCAGATATCCAAGTCTTACTCCCAACACCATGAAAACTGTCATTTCAACAACCTAAAATAAAAAAAAAAATCTTTTTTTAAAGATCAAACTATGTCTAAGAAGACAAAATTATGCTATTTTTTTAAAGATCAAACTATGTCTAAGAAGGCAAAATTATGCTATGTTTTTATTTCTTATAAATTTGTTATATATTTTTATCTTCAATATGTAAACTTGATACTAAAGGTAGAAAACAAATACATTTAATACAAATGATTACAGTTGTTATGTTGTAAACAAGAGTGCACACGCTGAAATGTCTCGCCTGCTTTAATGACCATTGATTCTATGTTGAAAGTCTTAAAAGATGAAGGTTTTACTACAAGTATCACATAAACATAACATTTTTAAAGATCTACGAGAATGAGGTCAAGGTCAGATAAATCCTGTCAGACGGACATATACACCTTACAATTTTTTTAAACACCAAATATAGTTGACCTATTGCTTATGGTACTTACTCATAATAAGTGAGAAATTCACATGACAAAAAAACTTTTTTTTTCAAGCAGTCGCTGAACCATGAAAATGAGGTCAAGGACAATGGACATATGACAGACGAAAATTTCCTTACATGGTCCGAGTACAGAGTTATTTCGTAGTGCATATCTTTTAGACAATAAATGAAAATTAAAAAAATCCCACCTGCGCTTTCTCAATAATATTTTTACAGTGTGTTGTACTACTTTTGGGACAAATTATATCAAAATTATAGAAAACTTCATCGGCTCTAACTCAAAATATGGACAATTTTATGTTAAGGGGGTCTTGAAATCTTTTGACAGCTTCCGAAGTGCTAATTTTTAACCTTTTTCAGCTGGACCAAATCACTACTTTACCTTAAAATTCATGACCCAAATTTTTTTACAGTGTAATTTCATCCCCCTTCTTGCTATTTGAGGCATAAAACATGGAGAAATAAATTTGGAAGGGGTATAAAAAAAACTGGCAAGTAACACAGTCCACACTAGGGACTATATATGTGTGGACAACGAAAATCAAAGGACGATAACTGTGTACTCGGACCACATAAGGTATCTGCATACAAGATATGAAGCATCCAGGTTTTCTACCTTCTGAAATATAAATCTTTATACAAATAGTTTACATCGCCGCTGGATAGTAATACCTAAGTCTCGCATACTGAGACAAGCAAGACAAAAACAGTTATGCAATAATGTATATATCCTCAAAATCAAACAAAACCCCTTAATAAACAAATAATTGTAATAGCCTATAATAATATTATTAAACTCACCACAGATTTTTCATGGTAAGGCCTCAAGACTTGGTTGAAGATTTAATTGACCATCTTCCTTAGGGCTGTCTCCTGGCTCAGGTGGTTCATGTCCTCATTATCTTATTGTCCTTTTGCTTTTAGAAATAAAATTATATATATAAAAAATATCAGATGCACTTTTAAAAAATCACCTTTTTTTGAAAATTTTACCTAATCAATTGTAGTGGCCCATGAATTCTCCCACCCTCCAAATCTATTATCTAGAGCTCTGCTTACATTTTTTTTATTTACAGAACTCTAAATAATAGTCAATTTTAGCTAGTTTACATCTGATATTTAAAGAAAACTTATACAAAAGTGAATATATAAGTAAAAAAAAGTTATATTCCCGTATACACTGAGGAAATTCAAGTATGAGGAGTTAAACGGGTATTACCTCCCTTTGCCCTGAATATTCCACCCTGTTGGAACTCCACATCCTTTCTATATTTAACAAAAATACAAAATATAGTATAATTAAAATTAAAAAATAATTTAATATAAAAAATACAACACATTTCAATAACATATTTAGTACTTCAATTTTCACCTAGGGGCCTTGGTGGCAGAGTGGTCTAAGTAGTTCAACTACTGTATCACTAGCCTGTCAAAACTGAGGTTAAGAATTCAAACCCAGCATGTGGTAGGTGTGTTCCACTCAAATCTTAATTGACTAGGAGTGCCAGTTTTCAGGGGGAAAGTTGGTGTTTCTCTCTCGTTACTCTACCTCAACCAATAAAAAAAACGGTCACCAAGATATAACAAATCGGGCTGAAAGTGGTGTTTCACACCAAAAATCAATCAAGCAATCTTTTTTCACAAAGATGTTCCTTTACTATGCTTCTTGTGAAATAATCTTTAAATTTCTTTTAGCCAAAAACCCTGCTAAAAATAACAAAAAGTTGGAAAAAATTTATATATCTAACAATTCAGAAAACCCCAAAAGCACATTTCAATAAAATAATTTTTTTTCTTTTTTTTTTTTTTTTAGATTCTCCATTTTTAACCTACTGGAAGTGTTTTGACTACACATGGACCATTATTAAGACATCTCAAGTAGGTCTACAAGTAAAATTGTAAAATTTGTCCTTTTCACTTCATTTTCAAAGTATCAATCAAATCTAGTCACAGGGGGGAAAATAATGAATAAGGATCTGAACTATAAACTCATCATTACAAAACTACATACAAAAAAACTAGTTCAGTATCCATAAGCATGACAAAAAAAAAGTGTTAAACCAATAATGGATATGAGTATAGATACCAGAATATAGCCATGGGTTTGAATGGAAAAAATAAAGAGAATTTTTGAAATTTCAAATACAAGTTAACCTTCAACTTCCAATCTTGTTGAAAATGGAGAATCTTTACACATTTTTTTTTTTTTGTAAAAATTTATACACATTTTTTGAAACATACACAAAAATTGTCTGATTTACATTCTGTGCTGTTAGTTCACACAATAATTTCATTCAGCCACAGTTAAAGTTACCTGAAAAAGAAATATACATTCTTAAACATATCTGTCAAAACAATACTTAATTATGATGTATATAACATTTCTTTTACTTTGTTTTAAAGTGGTGTGTTCAACTGTTGACATAAATTTTAAACTACCAGTCTTTATTAGCAAAAAAGGATGACAAATAAGTAGTAGGTTGATGTTTGACATAATTGATTTTATTTCATTGTTCAATCATAAATCAGGCAGTTGGTTTTCTCGTTTGAATTCACATTTTGTCATGTTGGGAACTTTTATAGTTTACTGTACAGTATAGGTTTTGCTCATTGTTGAAGGCCATACAATGACCTTTAGTTGCTTACATCCATGTCATTTGGTCTCTGGGTGATAGTTATCTCATTGGCAATCATACCACCTCACATTTTATATGGGGACAATTTTAGACAAGAAGAAGAATGTGTCCATAGTACACGGATGCCCCAATCGCACTATCATTTTCTATGTTCAGTGGACCGTGAAATTTAGGTCAAAACTCTAATTTGGCATTTAAATTAGAAAGATCATATCATAGGGAACATGTGTACCAAGTTTCAAGTTGATTGGACTTCATCAAAAACTACCTTGACCAAAAACTTTAACCTGAAGCGGGACAGATGGACGGACGAACGGAAGGACGGATGAACGAACGAACGAATGGACACACAGACCGAAAAACATAATGCCCCTCTACTATCTTAGGTGGGGCATAAAAAAAACAGATAGATTTTCTAAGTACCAATATAATTTTTGATTGTCCTTATTCATCTTGATACCTCCTTTGGGATTATATATAGAGTTATAATTTAAGAAAAATTGAAATGTAAGATGATCTTCTCTGCATAATAAAAATCTAGGGTATTTACATGCTCTTGGCTGAATAGTTCAAAAATCTATGTATTGGTTCTTACCATAAAAGTCAGCTCCAATGGCCATTCTCAGCCTCAATCCTTACGGACAAGCTGTGATGCTAACCTGAAATATAAAATGCTTAGTTATACCAAAATTGTTTAAAAGATTCACTGTTGTTATACTGTATGTAAATTGTATAGACAGCAATCTAACAACCCAAAAACTAAATAATCAAGTTAGATCCTTAAATTTACACATATATTTGTACTGATAAAAGAAAGAGTAGACTATTGACCAAACTCTCAAATTTTTAAGCCAAGAGCACATTTCCAAATAATTTTTATAATGCATTTTTTTTTTTCAAAACAATATACTGGTACCTACCTACATATTAGCTGTATTAGACCACCAAGTCTTATTCCCACACCATGAAAACATCTTACAAAAAGAACCTAAAATATTAAAATTGAATATTTACATATTTTACAATTCCCTTTCTCCGACATTAGCTAAATTTTGTTCTGATTTCTTACTACATGTACACAATAGTATAACATCAACAACAGTTTGTAAAATTAATATAAAAGATGGAAACTCTTATAAGTTTATGATTTGAATTTCAACTCCACACAAAATCATCTAGTTTAAACATATTTTATTGTTCAAAAAGACAAATCATCTGCATATTTTACAATGAGTTATCTCCCATTGAATGAAAACATCTTGCTGTTCATTGTAGTAGTCTCCCCTTGAAGTTGTACTAATTCTGGATTTAGTATTGCTATTTAAATAGAAAATCTTGTCCATGTACCTAAATTAATTCGTCAATGGTGTTATGAATGCATAAGATTAGAAGGGTGATGTTTGTTGTCTTAATATACACTTTTTATAAAATTATTTACATAATGTATAGAAGTTGTTTGGCTTAATTAAACTTGCCTTATAATTTTCTTGGTAAAGCCTCAGACTTTGTTGAAGATTTATTTAACCATCTTCCTTGGAGCTGCTACCGTGGCTACTTTTATATGCTTTTCCACATAGGATTTTATGCTGTTCAGTTCACTGAATTCATTTTATCCACTTAATGAAATGTCCTTTCCATTGTATCTAATCAAATATACAATTTTCACAAGATTGTTCCAAAGCATCTCACAACATATTCTTTTTCCATTCATTGCTACTCATATTGTAAAATGTAAAATACAAATAATTTATTTAATTCATTCATAAAATACTGTAAAAATACCAGATGTATACAGGTAACTTTTACCAAATGTTTTTGGTACCCCAGAATTTCTCTTTCCCATTAAAAGTATTATTTAGAACTATGTTTACATTTTTTTTTATTTACAGAGCTCTAAATAATAGCTTTTTTATTAGTTAGCTGACATCTGATATGTTAATACTTATACAAATGTAATAAAAAAAAGAACAATATAGTAATAGCCTGACACCTATAAATCACCAACATTTTTTAATATTTTGAAGCATAGTTTAATAAAATATCCCTTCTTTTAAGGTTTACTCATCATGCACATAGTAGTCATATTCCAAAAATTGATCAAAGCCTCAAATAACTGAGTTGTACAGATTGTTCTTTTATAATAAACAATGGAGAATGGTCTCTACCGAAATTTATACATATGGAAATATAAAATGTAAAAATGGGGGATGATGATCAACCTCAATTGATATGCAACTCTCTGAGAAGTTCCAAAGACATGGATTAAAAACAAAAATTGTTACCTTCTTTTGAAATTTTTAGATGAAAAAGTTCTCAAGTTGGGAAAAATTTAACATACAATTCCACAGTAACAAGTGCACAACTTATATATTTGTGCAATCATTGTGTGAAGTTTAAAAGATCTAGATTGAAAACTGCAGGAGTTGACACAAAATTGGTACTGTCTTTGTAAATTTTGATAAAAAATTATTAAGTTCATAAATTTTGGAAAAATGGGGAAAAATTCCTCAAGCAACTCCATACTAGCAGGTACACAACTTCAACATGTGTTCAATCTTTCTGTGAAGTTTGGACTGGTACAAGAAACACTGAAATAAAAAAAATACAAATATGATGCAAAATGGTACTATGGACTATGAAATCTTTAAATTAAGGACAAGAAAAATTGTGAACCCAAAGATAGTAAAAATAATTGTCAAAATTCAAATTGCATGTGATCCTTCAATAAATTTGTTTTTCAAACTATAATACTTGAAGAAAAATAGTTCCAAAATTTACAATTAAAAAAATAATGTTTTTGTTCCCAAATTAAGTTTGATAGCATAAAAAGTAAAATAACAAAAAAACCGTACTCCAAGGAAAATTCAAAACGGAAGGTCCCTTATCAAATGGCAAAATCAAAAGCTCAAACATAGGGGTATATATAGGAATTGTATAGATTGGTGGTATGAAAATTTGTTTTTCATACGACTGCTTCCAATGACTCCACAAAAAAATCACTGATATCTTGAAATTAATAGAGATGAACTGACACAAGGTAACTCTTGGGAATCACTGGTTCCTAAAAAGGATAACAGTCAAAACAGAACCAGCTGCAGTCAATATACAGCTCTTTTTGGCTATTGGGAAAGGAAACAGATCCCAAGTAAAAACTAAAATAGGTTTTCTTTAATGTCATTAAGTGATTAATTAGCAATTATTAAAACCCCCAGAGTCTGGAAAAATTTGTATTTAAAACTGCTTGGTTAATACAACAAATTGTATGCAATACTTGAAAATTGTTGGGAGTCTTGAATAGGATCCCTGTTATAATGAAAGCAGTTCAAGGACTACTATGAACTAATTGGAAACTACTTTGAACTAATGAGACTAAAGTAGGATCTCCATTAAAAATAAAGCCCTCAGATTCCTGTTGGATTGGCCAGGAAACATTTTTTTGAAAAAGTTTCAAAAAGGATTAAAATCCAAATTTTACAACTCTTGTCTACAAATCATGATGAGCAATTGTTAAATGCGATTAAAAAATTAAATTAAAACAAGTTGTCAATTATGTTACAATAATTTTAAACAAAATAGTTACTCTATATTTTTAAATAGAATAAAATTACAATGAATTTAGTCAAATCTGATGCTAAATGGACAAAGATATAAAAAAATAGCCTGTTCCCAAAACTAATTTTTAAAAATATTAATTTGATAAAATCAAAATTAAGGCAAGTTATCTCCCTTACTACATAGTACTCGTTTACAGCTGTGTATAGAAAAAGCAAAAAAAAAAAATAATTTACATTTGCATCTTGATGAAATTTGATTACAAGTATGTTGTTTGCAAAAAGAGAATACTGTGGATTCATTATTATTCCCCGGTTACTCATTTTTTTTTGTGGATTCAGGTGAACCACAAATTGAAGTTTTTGAAAAAATAAATTTTTATAGACTTGTATGGAGAATTGGTCAAAACCATGAATCCATGTAACTAAAGTAATCATTCAATGTCTGAACGAAAGCCTAGTGCTGAAGGTGAGAGTTGAAAATTAACCCAAGGTATGAGATATTTGAAGCAAAAAAGAGATATTCCTACTGTATCATATTAAGAATAAATACTTGAAATAAATCTGGGAGATGATGATAGTTTCAGATAATTCAGAATGAAGGTTTTTTTGGGGGATATTGGAAATTATTAAAATAATGGTTCTTCCCTTTTGGTCAAAGTATTAAGTGATTGTATTTTAGATAAGAGATATATCCAATATTAGATTATAATTTTTTTTAAATGTTACTTTTACTTCACGATTACCTTGTTAGCAATCAGTGCTTTGAAGAAGCAGATACCCAGCAATAAATTTGAAGATGCTAAAATAAATATCACTTTTTTGATATTTTTTTAACTATACTTGACTTCAATTTGATATACAAGTATATTTAATTTTTCCATTTCCAATGCATCATAATACATGTATATCAAATACAATTTAGATATTTGCTTTTAACATAATTTTGAGAATTAGAAAAAGTTTAACTATTGTACAGATTCAAAGTTCAAAGCAGCTTTATGCTCTAACATTTCTCTTTTTTAATATAAATGACTGTAAAAATATCAAATATATATTTCATTTCAGAATTACATTTAAAAGTTCCTTTGAATGCAAAACACCATATTCTGAATACTTGAAAACCATAAAACCATCCAAAAATCAAATGAAGAAACAGAAGATATAACCAGACCCTACTGCAAGCTACACCAAAAAGAAACTATGTTAAATGTTAGTAGAGACGCAGCGCTCCAAGCTCAATGTATTTCTGAAATGATAATTTGATATTTGCTTAGTCTACAAAAAACTTTTAAGATAGATAAATGTTCAGCTATGACACTGTGAATGCCCTTGACCATAGATTAATTTAATGTTAAGTAAGTGTTATTCTCTAATTTGACAATCACAATGTATTGAAAATAGAAAAATAATTAAGAAAATTGTTTCATTATAAATCTGAAATTTTTATTTTAATCATAACTTTTAATTGCAGTGCAAAAAACTAAACTCCCTGTACTTTTTTGCCAACCCATTTTTATCTTTAAAAAAAAGCACTGATAGAGCTAACAAGACAATGTTCAAAACTGGTTAAAAAGATATCTGTCGATCAATGGATCAAATGACAGACTGTTGAAAATACCCAGAAGTGTATTACAACCTAATAAACCTCATCCAAAGTCATTGCAACTATCACCATCTCTGCATTGACCACTTTGATAATAAAGTAACAAATTAAATAAGTGGGCTTTCCACCCTGGGTTAATCTCCAACCTTAATTTTTGCTTCAAAGGTTGTTGCATATTAAATTATGCCTAATTTAACTATTGAAAATTATGGACAAATCTTTTTACAGCATTCCAGAAGAAAATTTAGTTCAATTGTAAAATAATGGGGAATACTTTTTGCATGTTGTAATCAAATTAAATCAATCTTCTTCCTGATTTTTAATTCATTAAATTTCCAATTTTTATAGTAAAATTTTTTTTTTTATCTATACATCACTACTGAATGCATGAATTGTTTCTTTTTTTGGGGGGTCAAAATTCAAACTACATTTTACTCATGAACTGCACACTAAAAATAACTGTTCTAACCCCAAAAATTAAAATTTCATTGATAAATTTTACCTTAACATGTATTAGGAAATACTTTTTGGTATGTTTTAAAATAAAATAAACTTATTGAAGAACCCATTGACATGAATGTAATATGTAGGAACTACTACTTAAATATATCATTGGTATATTCATATTGATATTTTTAAATTATCAGAATAATGGTAAAAATATTTTAGAAGAGTATTGTTAATTTATATTTTTATAATAACATGTTTCGAGTATATTAAAAGAACTCCTTTAAGTAGGCATTATGTCCTTGGCTATCATGGATCAAATGATCATTTGTCTACTGCTATGATTAATAAGATGAAAACTTTTACAATTAAAAATTGCTCATCAT